GACTTGTTGTTGCTTGTTCCAAATAATGAAGACTGAAAACGGCCACCAGAAACAAGGGTTTGAAGGGGAAAAAACGCGTGCCATTGCAATCAAAATTTTCGTGCCATTTTACCCTTACAGACCTATTCACATGCTGTCGTGCTAAGGAAAAACAACGCATGAGCCTTCAGACGTTACCAAGTTTCCTCCGATAAAAACCACATTTACTGGGAAAATTGTGAATATTATTTTCCAAAATTTTCAGACAAATTTTGCCGCAATTTATTCTCTAATATCTGACAATGTTAAGGGAAAATATGCATGAATGTTGTCGACAATACGTGTTTTATCAAGGGAAATTTGGCAACTCTTGAGTGTTCATACGGCGTTCATCCTCAGCACGGTAGCATCGTTGTTTCGTGTATCTCTTGCGTGCATCAGACCCATTATTTCGGTTTTGATGGTTAGTGCTGCATTTTTAGTGAGGCTGAAATAATTCGTCGTTTTCGAACGTAGCTCCATTCCAAAATTTCAAAATTAACTCAAACAGTTTAATTATTCACAAGAATGTATCAAAGCAATTCTTCCTCAAAATATTCCTGAATTTTGCATGAGGTCAGAAGAAAAATAAAGGGAATTTTCAGTAAGAAATACCGAAGATTCTCCTCGTAAAAATGTTAACCTGCGAGGGAAATTAGGCAATATCGGAATATGGTTACGTCCGTTTGCGGGAAAAACGGCGCATTATTACCATGAAAGTATTATCTTATACTCTGCTGTGCTAAGGAAGAACGCCGTATGAGCATTCAAGAGTCGCCAAATTTCCTTTCATAAAATTTTAATTTTTGAGGATTTTTATTGATATTTTTCCTTAAAATTTTCAGGAACTTTAAAACAAAACTCGAACAAAATACTCTGAAAAATTGAATGAAAAATATTCGTAAGTTCGCCAGGGAATTTGTGTTTTATCAAATAAAATTTGGCAACGCCTGGAGATTCATACGGCGTTTTTCCGACGATAAAAACCGAATTTACTGAGAAAATTGTGAATATTTTTTCTCGAGATTTTCAGACAATTTTGTACGCAGTGTAATCAAAAGTATTTGAAATTTTCAAGGAATAATACTGCCGTGCTTAAGAAGAATGCCGTATGAACATTCAAGAGTTGCCGAATTTCCTTCGATAAAATGTTCATTCTTTAGGGAAGGTATAAATATTTGTCCTTGAAAGTTTCAGGAACTTTAGGTGAAATTGCGAGCAAAACTATCGGAAAAATTGGAAAGAAAATATTCAGAAGTTTACCAGGAAATTCAGGTTTTATCAAAGAAAATTTGGCAACGCCTGGAGGTTCATACGGCGTTTTTCCTTACCACGGCAGAATATGCTTGATTGTCCTCAAAAATGCATGTTTTATGCGGAGAAATTTGGCAACTCTCGAATGTTCTTACGGTGTTCTTCCTTTACACAGCAGTAGATATGACTAAACACTTAGGTAAGACCCAGAATCCACTGTCGTGAAGAAACTAGCCTTTCTTCTTCGTGTCAGATCGAAGTGGCGGTATTCTCCAGGACTGTAGATCAGGTGCGAGGGAAAGGAAAGAGCCCCGGCCGGCAGGGTGTCCCTCGGGAACTCCCGATGACTCACATATCGATTGCCGGTCTTCGGGATATCGAGACTGTAGGGGTGAGGGAGACGTCTTACCACCCCCTTCCTCCCAGCCGTCTGCCTCCGCATCGCACCGCGCCGCACAATGGAACACGTCAAGGGGGAATTCGGACAAAATTTGGAAACTTTAAAAGCTCATAACTCCGTTTTATACAAAACTTTGGGGTTTTAAAAGTGATTCCATTGGGTTCGTCATGAAATGTTCTACAGTGAGCACCCCTTGATATTTAAATTGTGACTTTTTTTTTTTTTTTTTTTTTTTTTTTTTTGGATATAATAATTAATAATTTATTGGTGACTATACAAATTGTAACCAATTTTAACAGAAATTGGCACGAAGACCTGTATGTACGTTATAATTATGAAAAGAGTATAAAACATAAGTAAAGATGGTACAAATTTATTAAAAGAAGAATATGTAAAGTGATAAATTAAACTATAATTATATATTAAGTTGGGATTATATCACCGGAATCGCCTTGAGGCATTTCTTCGGTGTTTGTTGACAAACAGGTCCTTAACATCTTTTTTCTTATAAGTACTTTTACTACAAATTGACTGATAGTCTGCTAGTTATTATTAGAAGAGAGCATAAAGTTGACTACGGTGGAGGGTTCTAGCTATAAGATGTCTCTGTTTCTAGATCGTATCGAAGATGTGTAACGGCAGAACAATCGAAAACCGTATGAAAAGCTGTGTCATTTATGTCTTTTTTACAAATTGTACAAAAAGGAGATGCCTTTATTTTAGACCTAAAATTGTGACTTAATAAACATCAAAATTTGCGGTTTTCGTCGACAAATTTCATGTCCGTCCTCTTCTATTAGCTCGTACGACTGTGCGCCGCGCTACGACCGTCGTCGCGTCTATCCGCGGGTTATGCAACCCCTTGAGCGCGTTTTACGACCGAGAACATACCCACCCCTGGACTTCACACCCCCGCGCGGTGTGTATCCGGGTGAGTCACCCCGGGTCGTTTTCCACATGTTGACAACCCCTCGACATTTTCATGGTTTTATGATGATGATATTTTTGCCATGCGTGTATTTTTTCCCTTTCAGCAAAATCTCAGCTTGTATTCTCAGCTGAGTCTCCTCTTGAGAACGGTAATCGAAAGCACCCTCTTTATTTTGCTAATTTTCAAATTCCTCGTTTTATTTATTTATTTATCTTTTCGTCTATTTATTAATTTATTTATTTATTTATTTATTTATTTATTTATTTATTTATTTCTCTATCTATCTATTTATTTATTTATCTATTTCTCTATCTATTTATTTTTAAAAAAAACCATTCTTATAAGGAGCCGCAGATTATCGATGACTATAGCGTTTCAGAATTTCTGCCCTTTCTTCATTTTTTCGAGGAGAAACTAGCCATTTGTATAATTGAAAATTAATGCAAAATATTTTGATAACAGTTAAGAAAAGTCGAGAATATTTTCAATAAACTGCGTTAGCTAGTTTTCCAAAGAAAAAATGGAATATGACGGGAAGACTGCTACGTCGCAAATAGAGGTACGTGGTTTTGCACTCGTGCCATCGATATTAGGAAAAAAAGGAACAAAAAACTAAACTAATAAACAATTCCTGTTTTAAGAGTAATTTTCAATCGTTTTATTTTGAAAACAACAACAGTGGAATTCATAATTTAGATACGTTTTTTAACACCCCTATCGTCAAATTGGTGGCTAAAATCGAAAAATGCACACCTCTGATTGCACCTTTGCGGATGTCTGTCCATGTCTCATTTCTTCAAAAGAAAACCAACGAACAAGTTTTTCGATAATTTTTTTGTGAATGCTTTTTGCTTATCCAAAAATATTCACAAAAATTTTGTTACCATTTTCCCGGTAAATTCATTTTTTATCGGAGGCAATGTGACAACGCCTGAAGAGTTGGCAACTTCGTTTTTCCTCCATGTTAATGTATGTTAAACAATCGATTCTATTGCCTCACCCTTAATCGAATTTTTAATAGATTTAAACGGAGCGAAAGCAGATGCCACATTGCAAAATCGCCATTGGCCTGATCAGCTCAAGACGCTTTTTCCTCAACACGGTACACAGAAAAAAATGTCCAGACTCTTAAAAACATCGACAAGAAAAAATACTCTTGATTCAATCAGATTTAAGCTTAAATCAAGAACCAAGCCTCTTAATTTGAGCTGATTTCCTTTTGATTTAAGCTTAAATCTGAGTGAATCAAGAGTCCTTTTTCTTGTCAATGTTTTCAAGAGTCTGGACTCTAGATCCAATGTGTGTTTTTTTCCTGTGTAGAATGACACCTGGAGTGGAGAGGAGAAAATGAAGGGTACGGAAGGAAGGGAAGGGGTTGATTGGAGGACAAAACTCAGGTGTGCCTTCGATACCTACTGACTTTGAGGCTTCTGGTTGCTCCGCTTTCACTTTCTGGGGAGAAAAAAAGATATCGATTCGGTAAAACAACACCCCGATGCACGAAGGTCGCTTCGGTACTGTTTGCCGCGTCACCGTGGTAACTTGGAATTTTTTTTAAGCATAAAAAGTTAAAATAGACCGCACGGCACCCCACTTTGCAGGTTACACACGAAATCAACGAATAGCATACGTCACGGATACTGCTGAGGGGATGAAAACGCTTTGCACGCTTGTAAGGAAAGGGGTCGATTGTCTCTGCTCCAGATAAGAACTCGACCTTCTCTTCTGAATTCCAGTAATGCTTAAAAACCTTTTGAAATCATTTTTTTGTTTCTGTTTCAACGGAATCGGAACTTACTTACTCAATACTAGATTACTAGATGTCTAGATTAAAAGAGGGACACGGAGTCCCCACCCCCAAATCTGCGCGCCCCAGTCCAGACTGGGGACTCTGGTCCCTGTATTGAAATCATGATGGTTTATTTGTACATTTTACGTAAGAAAATATTATTAATTGAATTTAATTCGAGCGTATGGTTAACCTAGAACATTATTTTTTGTAATGAAACTAATTATTAAGGAAAATGGATCTTGATTATTGCATTAGATGGATTTAAGGATTATAGGCTGATCAGAGTATTTCCTTACCCATCAATCTAATTAAAACAGGGTGATTACAGAAGAAATCATTAAAACAAAAAAAAGGCATTAATATTTTTATTCTATTACGAGAAGTATATCAGAGAAAGAGGAAAGATCTGGGGCTGCTGTATGATGCCTATGAGGAAGGGTAGATGGGGAGGGGTACCCGCGAAAGGTGGGGACTAGGGAGGGAGGGGGTGTAGGAAAATCGGGAGAAGGATTCATTTTCAGTTCATGAGCAATCAAAGTTGTCACTTTATCGACGACCGCTAGGAGTTTGTAAAACGCCTTCGAAACAGAGCGTAGACAACTTACATTACTTGAATGTAACTTATCAGATGAACGGCGCGGTAGCGCGCGTTTCAAGTTTCTCGACAGTCAAATCCTTACTCAACTCATTCGAGTAGATGATACGAATGTTGCCTAGCATTTGAACTGAAGGCGTTTCCAATCAATCCAGACTCTGTGATTGTAAATAAATCACCATATGCGTGACGTAATCGCCGCGATCGAGCAAAATGTTTCTGTGGCGCACAGGTCGGAATTAAAATGATATGATTATCTAAACGCACTACTTTAATCAGTCAGCAAAATGTTGAACCCAGATTAAATGTAACCGTTTTAATCAAACAAGTCAGTTATTAAGTGTTGGCTTGCTCCTACTAAGCAAAGGCCCGGACCGTCTACGTGTATGCAAGTGAAACTGTTTGAATATTCACTACGAAACATTATTTGAGTCCTTGTTTATCGGTTAAGTGACTTAGAATTTAGCCTCTGATAGTTTCCTTTACTTTGCAGATGGCGACATCCTCAAGAAGCACCTACAGTTTCTATCAACCAGTCAGCCGAGTTATTTTTAAATTGGTTGCATCGTTACTCATCGCAATAATCCTCCACGCATGTAAGACGCAAATGTAAAAAACAGTTATATTTAAATCATAATAGAATCATATTTTTCGTGTCAATAATTAAAAGCAAGTCTTCTTTTAATAAAATTGCTTAATAAGTCTCGACAACATTCCTCACAAAATATTGGAAAACATTTCTAGGGACCGTTGAAAATGAGTTCAGTCACTGTTTCATAGGCAGGGTTGAAGAATTTGAGTTGCATTCATTCATTTAAGCCTCCATATTTTCGAATTTTTGTATCAGATTTTGACATAGGAGGGACCCAGATCCTACATAGTAAGTCCAATCAAAAACAATGTTAAAAAACTTTATCATTTGTATAAAACATTGATGTTCTACTTAGTGTTTCCATTTTTTTCTCGATTCATTATTCAGATTGATTTCTTCTTAATTTTTTCGCGTTGTGAGGTAGTGTTGAAATTCACAATAATTGTAAGTGGATTACGTTTCATAATTTAATCCAGACTCTTGAAGCACTTAATATTCGTTTTTCAGGTGAAACCCATGGATTTCTGAACCTGAACCCTGAAGAAAATGACGCGCAAACTAACTCCAAAGGTTCTGGTCTGCGGCCGCTTGGCGGCCCACCTCCTGAGGTAGGATTTTTTTTTGTACTGTGTACTAACTATTGGCACTCCACTGGCTAGTCGAAAAGGCTCCTTAGTCGAAAAGTATATACAGGTAAATAAAGGTGTGAATGGAGCATCATAACCCGAAGGTCACATCCTCCAGAACGAGTATTGAGTACTGTACTAATTCTCACGAAAAATATGCCACAAAAAATTATTTAAACGAAACGAATGGTTCGTTAAACCACACATCGCAAAGTGCGTGATATCCCTGATTTAGTAGACGGCGCACTGATACTAAATGAAAAAGAGTTGAAGAAAAATATTTGCTGACGAATGTACATTTGAAAGTTGTGAGCACGCAAAAAAAAGGTACGATGACCCGAAGATTTAATTATTGCGGTCGATGAACAAGAACTGGAGATAACTGCGGTTGCTTGGTCGTTCGGCTTACTTAGCACGTTTGGGAGAAACTAAGAGAAGAGTGGCATGGATACTAAAGCGGGAATTAACTTTAAGTTTGGAGATGACTGGACTAGTCAGAGAAGTGGCAGCAGCACTGCCGTGCTAAGGAAGAACGTCATGTGAAAATTCGAGAGTTGACTAATTACCTTCAAAAAAATGTTTATTTTTGAGGAAAGACGTGCATATTTTCCCTTAAAATTTTCAGAGACTTTAGGTGAAATTGGGAACAAAATTATCTAAAAAATTGGAAGGACAATATTCATAAGTTTACCAGGAAATTCGTGTTTTATCAAAGGAAATTTGGCAACGCCCAAAGGTTCATACGGCGTTTTTCCTTAGCACGGCAGAGCAGCGGACGCATAGTTTTCGATTGATGAGATAGATTAGGTATTAATTGAGCTGTACGGACGATTTAACGATTATCAGTTGCCAGAACTTGGGAACGACGTTTTTCAAAGCCTGATAGACTTCGGATGCAGTACACGAGTAGATGGACATTTTCTAGTTTCTTGACAAGGAATATGGAGGACGTCTCTCTCGCACTTGACAGGAGGAAAGGGTCGACACTGTATCTTATCGCGAGAGCCGTGCGAGCGAACGTAGACTGTGGGCATACAGATCTTAAATTTCGCCTGCAAATTCTAGCGTATGCAACCCAGCCCACTGCGGAGTTAAAATAGTTGCATGTAGGGTTCGAACCCAACTTCGTGTATTCTTTCATTGTTTTTTGGCGTTATTTTGAGTTGAAATTGCGTCCCGTACCTATGACGTTGAAAAAAGGCTGAACTTTCTAACTATAAACATTCATAGTTCATTCACCTAAAGCGCAAACTGATAAAAATGTACGTGACATAAAGAAAATGCAAACTTGCGATTCGAATATGGAATTTAAAGGAAGGCTATATGAATCGGATGCGGTGCATCAAGATTCACTATCGTACTTTACGCTTTCCGTGCTTAAATGAAGCCCACTTAATGTGAGGGAAGTAAAATGGAACCATCTAATAGCGGTGGTTCCCATTCTGTGCAGTTCTCATGGAGAATGAATTGGCGTTAATGATGCCCTGGGAAATTAGTTTTGGTGCAGCCTCTTGCATTCAATTTTCCTTCATTTGAGAAGGTAATGAATATACGCTCTCAAGAATTTGAATATTGATATCAGCATCTTCGGTCTTGTTTAAATGTGCGACCAGTGCTTCTACCCTTTCCACCACAATAAGTAAAGAAAAGGGCGAAAAAAAATTCGAAAAGGGAGCTTCGTAGTGTACTAATTGGACTGAGTTAAGCAGAAAGGAACCAACCCACATATTGGAAAAAATTGAGTTATGAGTGGTTTTGAACTTAACCACTGCTCTACTATCTATAGCCAAAAATTCAAAGTTTTTGTTGGAGCAAATTTTGCAGAAATTGAAATTGAAGTTTATCTTTTACATTGAGTCTTATGCAGGAGCCAAACTTTAAACCTCTTTTTCTCGGTTCGATTCCGATGTGGCTTGGTTCCTTTCTGTTTAACTCCGTCCAATTCATGTTGAATAGTGGCACTGGGAAATAGCTCAAAATTATAGCGTCACTGATGTGGTCCAAACAGCGCTCACAATTTTAGACTTAGACTTTTAATATGTATTAGGATAATACTTAAATTTGTAACTAGTCTATAGTAATTCACTCCTGGTTCCTTTTGAATTGTAGACAGTCTCTAAGCCGCCGGTTCACCAGTTCTCGGAGCTTACAAATTTGCGTACGTTCGTTGACAAAACTTTGTTCATCAAACACTTTTTCATCAATGGTCCCGATAACATCATCATTATAGCTCCACGTTTCTTCTCCAAGTCTACCAATCTCAACATGCTGAAGACCTTTTTCGAGATGGAAATCGGTCCAGATGGGAGCAAGGTAAACGCAAATTCCAATCATTTTAGCCAAGTATTCAGCATGCTCGAGGGCAGAGCGCAAATTGCTACATCGAAGGGCGTCAATACAAGGCTGCCAGATCGTGCGACAAAATGTGGATACTTTCCATGGGTTTAAATGGTAATGGAGAATAGTGCTACTTTCTCAGTACTGCACCGAAAAAAATGGTATGCTATTTTGGCACCTAGGATGTCAAAAATGTGGCTGATCATCCTAAGATGCTACCTTGAACGCTCACGCAGTTGAATTTGCATTCGTAGAATGTAAAGTTAACTGCGAGGGCAGTAAAGGCAGCATTTTGGGATCACCAGACACATTTTTGACATCCTAGGTGCTAAAACAGCATACTATTTTTTTCAGTGTGTTTTTAACAATGCATTAGTTAAGTGTCAAAAATGTCTACAGGTACAGCTTAAAATTATTGTACTCGGGGGAATGCGAAATCAAGAAGGAACTGTTTTTGTGCTTATAGATAAAAAAGAGTGTCAGTAATAAATGAACAGATAAAAACTAGATTCCTGGTCATGTATGATCTCCAGCAAATCTAGCAGCTAATACTGCATTCCAGAAGAACACTATTCTTTATTTGGTTCTTTAATAGTCCGCGGAATTCACAGCAACAGTATTCAATGTCAGTGCTGCCTTGCGGATTGCATATACTCGTGATTTGAAGGCTCTCATAACCAGTTATTGTAACTCTGACCTATCAGTATAGCGTTAGCCTCTCGATTACTCATCAGCCTGATGTCGGCCTGAGGTCGGCCCAATTTTAGCCAGACCAGCCGGACTTCACTGCCGCGATAGCAAAGACAGCAGTAAGTGCAAAAATGAAGTTTTGAGAAAATGGGCTCAGAAGCTCATGACCGAAATAATTGTATTGAAAGGATCTTCCGTTCTTTGTAAAATTGCTACTAATCGTCCGAAAGACTCCTAGAAATCGATTAGATGATTAAAGATCGACTGATTTTATTTCAATTACAAAAAAAGAGTATTTTTCATTTTCATACTAGGTTATTGTCAGGCAAGACAGCCGTAAGTGCTATGTTCTGCATGCTTTCGTGGTTGTGTTTTGGACACACAACGAACGCATTTTCAGGTTAGAAATTCGCAGGAGAGGGTGGCACTTTATTTAAAAGCACTATTTTCACTGGCTCTCTGGAGGAATATTGTCACTTACTGCTATCTTGCCTAAAACTATTTCGCGCACTTACGGCTTTCTCACTTGTCTCGTTTTGGTACAATTAAGATTAATTTCACTATTTTAGCAATTTCAGTGATTTCATCGGAAACTCGATTTCGAAAATTTGACACTTACTGCTCCCTTCACTATCATGGCGGATCAGTCCAGTCTCAGCCTGACTTAGGCTGTGTTCCTTAAAGATACGTGACGTCTATTGTCATACTGGCGCACTCTCACTGGGTACGCACTGACTGTTTGACTGAGTAATGGGAGGAAAAATAACACTGGTCAAAAAAAAAAAAAAAAATGAAAAAAATGAAAAACAACTTTTTCAAACTTGCCTCCTAACGATTATCGCTGAGCCCAAAAATGACCACTGTTTTTTGTCGGAGCAACCAGCCCCTCCGAGAATTGATACATTTCCATAGGTAAAAATGGAGAAAAACAATGTTGCCAATTTGTTGGATTCGTCAAATGATAACATAGAAATTGCACTTTTATTTCAAAGGTTGAGCAAAATATGACCCAAAACTGCCGAGTATTTGCCGACAAGAATCTGAAAATATTTCAAGACCCAGAATTTTTTAAGGCGAATTGTGCAAAGTACCCGGTGATGCACTTGGACTTCGGTGAGATCGACGCGACAACGCGTGAAGATTTCTACGTAAGCTTCAATCACTTGATCCGAAAAATTTACGAAAAATTCGCCTACTTATCGAAAAGTAAGAGGATCCCCAAATCCGAACTGAAAGCTTTGAATGACGTCCTTGAACTCGAGGAGGATGATTTTTTGGATGTACCGGTTCTCATGCGAACTGGGAAACAATTAGCAGAGTTAATATTCAAGCACCATGGTGAAAGGTTCGTCCAATATATCTTAATTTTTATTCCCTTATTTGTTACCGTAATATGAAGGAAGGAGCCTTCCTTAGTGCACTGAGGCAAATTTCTGGAGCGGTGACTTCTGTCAAGTCCGGTCCAAAAATCTCAAATTGAGTTTTTTCGTCGAAAAATACTGTTTAGTTGGTCTCAAATAACAAGTTCAGAGCATTTTAGATTAATTTTCTTGCTAAAAAAGGGGAGTGAGTCGCAGTGTAGTCCGGATGATTCTTAGCCGAAAACATAGAAATGATAAAATAATTTAAACCACTCAGTGATTTAACTTAAAACCGCAAACAGTCATAACTTTTAGATAAATACAGTAGGGATAGGATATCATGACATCGCTTTATACGGAAATTTGGAAAATCATAACATAACACGTTATATTTAATGATTTTCGGATTACAAAAAGATTTCTTGGACTATCTATTTTAATCAGAATGATTCAAATTCATGGAAATGGCTTTATAAAATCGTTAGTGGTATTGCAATTATAAAATTTGCAACAGTTTAGTTATTGTATTCCATTGTTTAGGTTTGGATAGTATTGTAGTCGATGCTCCTCTGACATATGACCGTATCTCGGTTTCCACATGAGCCCCAGAAAGCCTGGATGTTTATGTAAAGCAGGGCTCACGTTCAAAGTGAGATACACCCTTACGCCAAAGGAGCGACGATATTGATATTTATACTGCTCATAACGACCCGCGATCTGGTCGCCCCCGCGACTGAAATCTCATTGATTCAATGTACTTATGCATATGGACGTATTTAAGCTAAAAGGAACTATGTGCATAGGGTTTGCGAGAGATATAGTTCCTTTTGGCATAAATATGTCCACTATGTTATACCGACAATCAGATACGAGCATAACGATCAAATTAGGCCGGTCCGTATAGGAAGTTGATGTATCCGATTTCCACTGTATGTCCACATTTTAGGGGCTTTATACGTCGAAACGTTTCTAGCGTTGCCCAAATCAATAAATCAACCACTCCTATTCTTTTGGCCTTATCATCAATATATTGAAATGACTGTTCTGTCCGTTTTTTTTTCAGGGTAATTCTCCTGATCGATAATTACGACACCCCGATAAAACAGGCAATAATGAGCAAAGCAATCGACGAAGACGAAACAACCGACATCGTGGAATTTCTGACTCTGTTCATCGACAAAATCATCTCCAAGAAAGACCACGTTTTCAAATCACTGTTTACAGGCTGCCTCACCGCCGGCGAGGTCTACCTGCAGGAAAACAACAACAACACAAGGATAGTCTCCATCTTCCGGGACTTGGCCTTGTCGTCCTTCTACGGATTCCAGGAAGCCGACGTAGAGGATCTACTTAAAAAATTCGGGAAGAAAGCAGAGGAAATTGACGAGTTGCGAACATGGTACGGCGGTTACTACGTAGAGGGCTCGCATAAGCTTCTCTTCAACCCGAATTCTATCCTCCGATACCTGAAGACCGGAAAGCTGAAAGGTTACTTCGAACTCTCCGAGGACTTGAAAGCGCTAGAGCCGTTCTTCGATTTCGATATGGTCGGCGAGATGGGGGAAGGCCTGCTCGGAACAGACATCATGGTGCTCCCCCACGGGACGGAGTCCATGGAGAAGTTGCTCTTCCTGAAAAGCATGTTCTGTGACGACGAATGGTACGTGCTGTACCTCCACCGCATGATTCAGTTCTTCATGGAGCTCGGCTATTACACCTCGTATAGGCGGATCCCCAACCCGGTAGTCGGGGACGCCGTGAACATAGCCCACCCCAACACCGAGACGCGCGAAGATTTCCGGAAACTCGTTTTCACCCCCGTCTTCTACAAAACGAAATTCAACGTCTCGGACGAACACGTGGGTGGTTTTATCCGGAGCATCGAGGGACTCTCGCCAGAGCGCGCCACGTTCGTGGCTTTCGCGTCAGCGGTCGAGCGCGTCTTCCATTGGCGGAAGCCGCGGGATGTTGATGAGCTGGTTACCGTCCTGCGCGCTCTAGTGGTGGTCGGCCGGAGGCTCCCGTACGTCGACAGGGAGGGAAATACCTTGTTGGTCAAGCGGAACGATAGTGTGGGGGTGGTTGTAGGGGCGGCGTTCGTCAAGTCTTCCGGTAAGATGGTGCTGTCGCGGATCCTGGAAAGCAGGGTTTACGAGAAGGTGAAGAAGGAGGTGAAGACGGTGATTCTGATTGGGTTGTTCATGGACTCGATAGGACAGTGCGACGTGGAGTATGTGTACGACAAGTTTGACTTGGCCGAAAGACAGAGTGCGGTAGCTCCGAGGACACCACCACCCCCAACGACGACAACCACCGCTGCACCACGGTTTACGTGGCCTACGAGAAGAGGATATTCTCAATGAGAACACAAATATTTTATAAAACATTTTTAAAATGTTGCCGACGGCATTTTAAAAAGATTTGCAAAATATTTTTTGAGTATTTGTTAAATACAGTGGACTCTCGATAGTTCGAAATTGAAGGGAATCGGCTTTTTCTTCGAATTAGCGAGGTTTCGAAATAAAGAGAGTTCGAATTAAAAAGGTTCATGTGGAGAAATTTCGAATTAGAGAGGTTCGAATGCAGAGAGGCAAATGGACGGATTTACGTCAAAAGGAACCAAAAATATCAGTTTATTTCTTTACGAAGGTAAAAATTACACTAAGTCATTATTAAGTATTAGTTATTTATATTCAATTTTAAAACTATTAATTACATGTTTACATTTTGACAATCCTATCAGCTCCTTCAGACACCCAGGTACATAAACAGTTGACTTCGAATTGTAGAGGGAATGTACCGCCTTATTTCGAATTATAGAGGGAGGACCATATTTACTTCCCACACTTCGAATTACAGAGAGAATTTTCGTCGCAATTTCGAATTATAGAGGGCCGCGCCAGCTTAAAAAATTCGAAATAACGAGGGGAGAAAAATGCATTGATTTTCTTCGAATTATCGAGAGATTTTCAAGGGAAACGGACTTTCCTTCGAATTAACGAGGTTTTCGAATTATCGAGGTTCGAATTATCGAGAGTCCACTGTGTACAAATGTTCCCTCCTGGATATTTCTTGGAGATTGTCCGATTTTGTTTTAAATATTTTTAAAATATTTTTTTTGGATGTTTTAGATTAATTGGAAAAATAATTTTAAAATTTGACCTGGCGTGCTTTGCGATATTTCGATTGATTAGTCATTTAAACTCAGGGTCGGACTGGCTCGCATCTGAGGGCGTAGACCCTTGGCTGGTCTCAGGGGGCGCAATGTGATATTTCCTAGTAGGGCATCTCCTGCGTGGAGAAGGGTTCAGAAAATTTTGGCAAAGCTGCACAAGTTCACGCTATTTTCAGGTTCAACGTTTATTAATCGTACGGAGTAAAAATTGCAAAATTGAACCTATTGGAGTAACCGACAGGCTTCTGAAATTATAGAAATCATGAAAAATTAAAGCCACTAGACACATCCAAGCACCGTTATTTCCAAAATAGCGAGCCAGTGTTGCGGTTTACACGGGCTTAGTACGTGGTTCTGCAAATCCATCCTAAAAAGAGTCAGACAAGAACCTGAAAAAAAAGAACGAGTATCAACACAGTCGAATACAGAAAAATCGTATTTGGGCCTCTTTTTTAACTTTTTCCCCGAATCTGAGCGACACCTCATTAACAGCATGCAGCAGAGCATTAAGAGCTCACGCCTCGCGTCTTCGCGCCTTCAATTTTTCAGATACAGCACGGACGTCCATCAAGTACGAATAGTTGTATCTCTGCGCCTTCGTAAACGCGTATCCTTTCCCTCGTTTAATTTCCATATTGTGTTTATTTGCGTTTGTCTTATTTGTTATGGTGCTTCAAGCACAACGAGAGTAACACAGCCGAAGTTAGGAGAGATGTGTTCGGGCCTCTTTTTTAACTTTTAAAATATGTTTAAAGGTCTCTCAAGAGTTCCATAAAGGGGATGTGTTCGGGCCTCTTTTTTAACTTTTGAAATATGTTTAAAGGTCTCTCAAAAGGTCCATAAAGGGTGCGTATGTCTAAAAATCAAACCGACTATCGCTTCTAGGGGAGTTACGATAGCGAATGGAGGAGGGGAATGATGAAGCGCCTGTATGTCAACAAAAAGGTGAAAAACTCACAGAAAAGTGTTAACACTTAAGAGAGTAGTTCTTGGACCTCTGTTCCTTTACGGACCTTTCTTTACCCCTAACTCTCTTCTTCCGTTCACTTACGGAATTTTCCGCACATATTTTCGGTGGTAATTTTTTTTTCTCTTCTTATTTTGCTATCTGTCAGAGGGGCGCGTTTTCGGCGCACCAAGGGGGCGTATCTGCCAATGGCAGATTGGCCTTATGGCTAGTCCGAGCCTGTTTAAACCCATGTAATAGTATCGATAAACAGAGTATTCGTAAAGAACACTTTAATAGTCTATTCTTGACCATAGCTTTAAATGGGGAAATATCAATAATTGATCATTACGCCACTAAGATAGGATAGGAAAAGTATTTCCGAATCGAAATATGGAGTCTAATCGGTTAAAATTACACAGCGGTATGGTAAGCTTAATCCAAGTCGTGTGTTAGTTAAGCTCTGCCACCAAATATTTCTCCAAACTTTCCTCGCATGGAAAACTTTATCTCTGAGGAAAAACTGAAAAAATTCCGAATGCAGCTTACAGTTACACATTCAGTCTTTGTTTTGTGGACCTGAGCATTGATTAGGATAATTTATTTTTCTGGGCCATGTGTAGAGTTCAAGCCGTTTCAGCATTCTTTCTATCATCCCTACCTCTCCCTCCGTTTGCAAACTAGCAGTCAATTTTTCCGCATGCAGTTTCCAAATTTTTTTTCGTTTCCTTGTGTCCCGATGAACTGTCAAAAAATTAAACATGCGGAACACACTCACGTCAAGAGTATTTATGTAATAGGGTGTATAAGGTTACATGAAAATATTTTAAATGCAATTTCAAGGCCTGCCCTGGTCATAAATTTCACTGACTCAAATCGCGTCACAGAACTGTGATCTTCGTCCTCTACATATGCTATCTCTCTAATTCTGAGGCTTCTCTATTTCAGTGCTCAGCTATCTCCATAACTCCCGAAAAATTACCAACCAAATTTTCCGGCTACAATTTAGATTCAGGTCTGCATCTTAGTGCCTCAGTGAGTGCGAAAAGAATTAAAAGATTATCAAAGAAGCTAATAATATTGCATGCCACTTACTTTTTGCTTACTCAATCAAAATCAATGCCCGGTGCTTTGCAAACATATCTCAGATAAAAAAAACTTTATCTTTGATTTTATTTTTACATTTCATAATCGAAGAAACTTTAAACGGGAGTGAAACGCATGAAAGATTGCGGTTAGTATTGGAATTGTGTTCGATTCGGTTTCATCGATCTGTGATACCTAAAACGAAGCCAGTGTTGTCCGATTGTTGAAGTGAGGGCCTTTCCAGGTCATGTTCTATAGATTCAGCTCAGTTTACAGAGCTTTGATCCTTGTGTTTGTTATGTTTTGCCTGTTCTTTTATATGTTCGCAAACATCAAGCTTGGTCATGTGAAACCCAAGAAACACAGGGTGTCCCGAGACAAAGGGTACCAAAATTCCCGGGCTCCGTGGTGCTATAAACTACCACAAGAGGACGACGAGATCCTCGACATATCAGACTACCCCGTGAAACCTAACAGCATTTTTTTCGTGGAAACATCCTGCCGGCATGGAAATAACCTCGGTCTGACGGTTCGGCAAGCCTGTACTTATGAGTCGACCGCCAGAGCGCACCCCAACTCGGAAATTCTGATTTTATTTCCAGCCCCTGTTTTTCTGGGCGAGGATCCCTTGCCCCATATAAAAGAAGTCTTATCCCTTCCGAATTTGAAACTGTTGCGTGTGAATGTCGAGAGGTATATGAAGGATACGCCTCTTGAAAACTTTGACTTTGTGACGAAAATGGGGAGGAGTAAATTCTCGATGTCGCATGCATCCGACTATCTACGCTTTGTGACGTTATGGAAGTATGGCGGGACATACCTGGATTCTGATTTTATCGTGATAAGGTAAGTCTAAAGTGATAGCGAGACCTTATGTCAGAGGCATGATACCCTCCACTGACCTCTTAGTGACAGGTGGAAGCTTTTACTTTCGGGGATTCAACACTTCCCTATGGACAATTATAAGGGAGCAACAGTCATCACTCTTTTTCCGGCTGTTGACCTACCTACATGGTGGATGATGAGCTCCGGGTGACGTCATGAGCCACACAAGTTTCCCAAACTTCGACTTGTTTTGGCTTGTTTGCAAAAGGAAACTGCCAACACGTTATTACATCAACCGTGTAGGTAAGTCAACAGTTAATTGTTGAGGTGCAGAAAGTAAAATCTTCCACAATAGCCTAGATAGGAGAGGAGGGTCTCTTGTCTCTGCCTTATGTGGACCGCGTTTAGCAGATAGAAACCAAGCCACATCAGCGATTGCCAAACTAAACTGGTCAATTTAATTTTGTACAAGAGAGCGCTTGTACCGGTTCCTTTGGAAATTTTAAGAAATTTGCTTCATATTATGCAGAAAATTCACTTACATTTGTACGAAAATTCGCACAACCGTTTTCACGTGATAAATTGAATTGCTCAGTTAAATTTGGCAACAGCTGTGGCTTGATTGCTTTCTGCTTAACGCGGTCTATTTTAGTTTCGTTTCATTCCGCTCCTGGAATCTTAGATAACGCCACCTACCGGCCGAAGTATCGCAAGCACCATGCGACGTTTCAAAATTTCCGCAGCCATTTTATTTTCTTACACGGAAAAAAATCTTTTGTGCTTATAGCTAGATAGTAGGTGACATTTACCATCTTGGATTCCCAGATTCGACCCCTGAGAACAACTTTGCTACGAGCACAAATGTATGATGGTTAGAAACCTCAAACCGCGATCAGGTAGGCGTTGACAACAAAGATGGTAACTCGCACCGACACTGCTGGGCGGGCGCGCCGTCCTCCGTAGACGTACCGCACAACGTTGCTGAGATAGACCTTCAAAGATGGTAAACTGGCCCATCCGGATGTTTAGTGTATCAATCATGAAAGCAAGGAGAACCTAATTTTTGTGTTTTTAGCCATAAAGAGGAGTATTTTCTTGTGAAACGTACAGCTTAAAAAATTGAATACAAAGGTGTGCAATGTCGGGGTTCGCAGCTAGGGGATGGTGGAAAAAGGTTAATCGCGTAAATAAATTTCGAAATCGAGTAAAATGAGACTACAGTACTTATTGTGAGGTGCTGTAGTCGTATCCGACCTATCAAATCTTTTTGCCCACCGCGGGGGAGAACCTGGGACCTATCTAACCCCCAGGATATTCAATCTTCATACTTAGATTGGTTCATTCATTTTTCTAATTTTTGTATTTCATTTTATTTTTTAACGTTATTTCAGTTTTTCACTTTATTTTATTTCGTTACTTCATTTTAATTTTTTTACTTTATTTTTTTCTTTACGCAAAATAATTTTTCTTTGATTATTTCTTTTTTATTTATTTACTTTATCTTACTTTTTTTTCCTTTGTTTCTTTACTTAATTTTAATGTTTTACTTTATTGTTTTACTTAATTCAGTCATTTAATTTTAATTTTTATACTTCATTAAATATCTCTTCATTATTATTTATAACTGCATTTTATTTATTTATTTTTTCTTCTTTTCTTTTCATGTCGAGAATCAATTCAAAATTTTCAAACTAGGATTATTTTTATGATTGGCTAAAGTGCTTCTAGCATTGGACAAATAAGCCCCGGCTACTTACTTGAACAAGTAGTGAGAGTATGTAGAATAGAAAATAAAAAAATTACCCCTCTAAAGTACTGAAGCCTTGACATGGTGTTAAATATAGTGCATGCCTAGCCTACTGGTAAACCTGGGATGTTTAGCTTAACGACAGCAAACAATTGACAAGAAACATTGTTCAAACATTAGTAACAATTGATAAATTTCTGCCATTTCCTTGGAATTTTGAATGTAGAAAAAAATTGATTTTGAAAACTATTATTAGTACCAGGGGCCTTTGGCCGCTCCGCTGCCGACAACCAATGCCCAAGAAAACAACACACGTAAAAAGTCGTAGAACAACCGTGTTCAAGTTATCTCGGAGATTAATGGATTCAAATACCGCGTCAATGTTTTATTTTTGATCAATGTTTCTAAAAGAATACACACTCTTGTTCCAGTGAGTTTCCGCGAATTTTCCTGAGTGATTTAAAATAGATAAAATAAAATTTGACTTAAAACGCATAATATCCGAAATCTAAGCTCAGATTCGGCTTCCTCGTGAAAAATCGATGCAATTTCATGTATCATAAGTCACCATATCATGAAGGAAAGAGATTAACGTAGGCGTGTAGATTCTAACATATCAGTCCGACGCGACGTGGCAACATGGGTGATTCGGAGTGGGTCAGCTGATGAGTAAGAAGAAGTTTGTTTTCTCGGAAACGGACGAACCAAATGCTAAGCGCCGGCGTCTGTCGGCGTAGCTCAAACGTTTGAATTCTGTGCCTACTTCCGCATACCGGCCGGCTTCGATAGAATCTTTACGCCTACGATTACCCTCTTTTCTTTATGCTTTGGTTACATATGATACATGAAATAGCATCGATTTTTCACGAGGAAGCCGAATCTGAGCTTAGATTTTGGGTATGATGCGTTTCAAGTTGAATTTTCTGAATTTGAAAATTTACGACGGCGGACGTAGCCTGAATTGATACATCGGCTCCCATTCCATCGATTAAATTCGAATTTTTAGTCTAATTTCGAAAATTCGAAAAACCAAGGCGGTGGGCGTGGCCTAAAACGCTATCTCGGTTCCTGCTCGTCGGATTTTCGTAAAACTTGGTGCCAAGGGGAGGGGGGGGAGGAAAGAAATTTTCAAACATTGCAATCGATATATCGACGGTGAAACTACCAAACCACGTATCTCGATTTGCGACGTCGCAGACTTCCTGTCATACTTAATTTTTTAAATGAAAAACTACTTAACATCCAGTCTTGAAAATTTCTGTGATTTTTCCTCTTTGTGCGGAAAAAATTCCGTGAAAATTTCAAGGAATGATATTGATTTGGTCTACTTCAAAAAAATAACATGTGAGCGTAGATTTTTAAACACCGCAAACGAGATACGTGGTTTGGTAGTTTCACCGTCGATATGTCGTAGGCAAATAGTAAAATTATGCATTTTGTCAAATGCCTAGGCAAATAGTCAAATACTAGGGGGCTATGCCCCCTGACCGCTACGCGGTCTAACCCCCTGAAGGCGCACCGCGCCATCTATTTTTACCTCCTATCAGTGTTAGTTTTCTTTTTCCCTCCAAAAATTACGATATGAGGTATACTTTACTTTTAGAATGAAATACTTTTTGGTTTTGATGAATATTTTAGTTCGTTTTAATCCGTTTTTTTTTAAATCAGTGAAAAGTTTAACATCGTCCGAGTTTCTGAACTGTTGTAATAAATGCCCTTTAATTATCATTAAAACCGAGCAGAGTCAAGAATAATTATTTGCGCGAAGTCATATAGTTTTGCGGCGACTTTACCGTCGCCCGAGCCAGGGACGGGAAAAGGAGTACGCTCCAAGAACATATTATTACACGCTTATCAGTCACACAAGGTGGGTTGCATATGAATTCTTGAAAATCTACATACATTCCCTAATCAGCCCATATCTGATTGCTTTCTTTGGTGACTCAATGTTGGTAAAGCGTAAACAATTGACGGGGCAGACTACTAACAAAATACTTAAATTGAGTTATCTGAGATGGTGACCTTTATAATCAACAAGTTTATAATTTGCACTAACGCCTTCTGTAGTTCAATGAGCCCACTTAACCGAGTAGCATCAACCAAAAACAAGATAGGTGAAGCGCAAGCGCACTCTTTGGTGCAATGAGTCAACTTGATGGAGCAGTTTACCATCAATTTTGTCTCGGTGAACAGATTTGTAATAGCTAGTAGCAACTAATTGAAAATGATTGATTTCCCTAAAAACGTTGTGGACAATACAATGCCATTGGTTATTGTATCAATTTTTTCATGTATACGGCACCAACTTTTAACTAACAAAACCAAGATGGTTATCCGCGCACAGTCATTTTTTTTCCGTGTACAGAGAAATTGTTTAACGAAGCTGTCCGAAAAAGTCACTAAATTCTCTTTGTGCTGCCGATAAAATTTAGTGAAATTTTCAAACAGATTCAACCGAAAATTTCTAAAAAATAAAATGGCGGCGAAAACGGAGCATGGCCCTTATGATACTTTGGCCGGAAGGTGACGATAAACGAAATAATGAAAATGCAACCATACCAACGCACGAGATTGATTTGCCTACCCGGCGAGAAGAAGGCGCATCAGTGGCTTGGCGTGCTTTGCGATATATCGAATGATCTGCCATTTAAACCCATGGTAAGAATCGATTAGTAAGGTGTTTGCTGCGAACACCCTAGAGTACCTATATTGAGAGAGTATGGCCACTGGAGTTACCACCTCTGATTGGCTCAGCCATCTTAGGCTGAATGGAGCCCTTAGGACCCAAAAATGGCGGACGCCATAAAGTTAATGTAATGCAAAATGATTCAAAATGTAGTTGTCTTTGCTTATCGTAACGAGAACTTTACCCAAATGCACTATTGCGACTTCTTTACATATTTTTAAGGCTAATCGTGTGCAATTTTTGAGAAAAATGATCTTAGATGTAGTAAGGTTGGCAGCAAGTGCGGTTGGTGATAACCGTCAAAAGTTGGCAATGACCCCCCTCCCATCCTCAAAAACCAAGACAAAGCACCGCCATTTTTGGGTCCTAAGCCTCTCCATGGGACCCAGTGGCCATACTCTCTTAATAAAGGTACTCTAGAACACCCTGTCTATCGATCCTTTTCCATAGGTTTAAATGGTATATCAATCGATATATCGCAAAGCACGCCACGCCACTGAGGCGCATCCTGGACGAGAGGCCTCGTCGCGCGCTGCATCGTGTCCATATCTGTTGCGCTAAGTAAAAAGGCCGTAAGAGCATTCAAATGTTGCCAAATTTTCTCTCGGGAAATATTCATGTTTTAAGAACGATATGCATATTTTACCGCGGAATTTTCAGACTTGTGGATCAAATTACGAAAGAAATCCTTTGAAAAATCGGAAGAGAAATATTCACGAAATTTCCTAAAAATCTTTGACTTGCTTACAGAAATTTGACAACGTCTGATGGCTCATACGGCGCTCTTCCTAGGCACGGTAGATTTGTATCTTGCTCTCTCGTTCATCCGGTAAATCCGATCATGTCATGGAGCTCTCCGCACATTACCTTGCTCATGCGTAATCTGTTGGTTGCGAAATCTGGATGACTAATGCGCCTCCAAAGAGGCGGGGTCTCTCACCTATCCCGTGAAAATGAAGACTAACTATACTGCCATGCTAAGGAAAAACGCCGTATGAGCCTCCCGACGTTGCCATATCTCCTTCAATAAAGAATAAATTTACTGTAAAAATGGTGAATACTTTTCTTCGAAAATTTCAGACGATTTTGTTCACAATTTAATCTAAAAAGACTGAAAATGTCAAGGAAAAATATACGTATTTCTATCGAACGGAACTAAGCGCCAATTTGAGTTCCTTTTGAGGAGTTGAGAATCCCGGATAGCGCGTTCTGTCAAACGGACCTGAGCGCCATGGAAAAGCATTGCGAGTATAGGACGGAATAAGTCGGACGCCCGATTCCGCCGCCAATCCAAGCCCCCCTCTACCTTCCTCATCCTATAGCGCCTAGGTCCATTTGATAGAAATACGTCCACATATTCATAACTTCTCTCCAAATTAAATTTTTCATGGGTGGAAATTTGGCAACTCTCAAATTTTCATACGGTGTTCTTCCTTAGCACGGGAGCATAGCTCAAGTCCTTAAAGGTATTTTCAAATATTTTAGTTTTTCCCCATTTTGAAGAAACCCACATTTAATATTTTATTGTTTTTATAGATATTTTGAGAGCATGTTTTAAGCGTCATTTTGTTATTAGGATAGGGATGTATAAATTCTGCTGAGATGTTGTTATTTCACAATCCAAATTATGAGGTTATCCACTTCAGAGCGTTGTTCCAGGCCTTTGAATTCAATCGACAACTTCATCGCCGCGGAAGACGAGAACCGAGTCAACGTTGCCGTTTTAAACGTCAATATCTCCTCTGAAATTGGAAAATATGCTGCTGAAGAGTTCTTAAAAGAATCTATCCGCAGATTCAACCCGAGAGAATGGGCTGAGAATGGGCCCGGGTCGGCGACTGGAGTCATCAAGAGAATCTGCAAAGAAACTCGAGTAAGTTTATTAATACACCCCAGCAGTGGCGTGGCATGCTTTACGATATATCGATTGGTCTGCCATTTAAACCTATGGAAAGGATCGATTAATAGGGTGTTCGCAACGAACACCTTAATAATCGATTCTGTACCGAAGCTCAAAATGGGAAAATATCGATATGATTGACAAATCTGTAAAAAATGAAAAAAAAGAGGAAAAATTATAAGAGCACTGGGGGGTTATTTTATAGCGCATTGGCAATCAAATTTTTAACGTCAAGTCCGAAAGTTGCTTTTGTCTGTTAAATTCACCCACCAATCTTGTAGAAAAATGAAAAATCTAAAAATACGCAGTTTCTGCCACCCAATAAAATGAGATTTTTTTTGTCTGGAAAATTCGATTGTTCAGATGATTGGTGGGTGATGCATGAAAAAAAAAAAAAAAAAATTAAGTAGGATTTCCCCTATTTAGACACCTACTTAAAATAGTCTCCCAGTGCTTTCAGACGCAAAACGCCCTCAATTTTGCGCGATACCTCACCGCTCACACCAGAGTTAAGATATTTGTATAGTAAAATGCTGTAAAGAATCCGAATATGCATTAAGCATATGTCCTAATGCACTATCTTCTTTTTTCTCGCAGACTCGCAGGATGACGCGGGAAAAATGTAAGGGCTTCACTGTGTACACACCCCCGCCAGAGTCGCCATTCTATCCGACTGCCTTGAAGTGGAGGTTCTTTTTCAACGAATGGGTGGACTGGAAATACTTCGATAAGATCAAACGGGAGTCTATAGCCTTACACATGTTGGGTCACCTTTCGGACACGAAGCGCATTAAGAAGGGCGCCAGGAAGCCGTACGACATTCTCGCCCGGGAGTTCTGCCCGAAAGTTTACGCCACCATCAAAAAGTACTATTGACGTCATCCAGATCCATGACGTAATGCAGGATCTGAAACTGCGGACGATTGACTCAGGCTATGACGCTGCTAGATGACTGGCATCAAATCGGGTCACATGATCAAACCGTGCTATTAGTACGTACCCAGGTGACAAAAGGGCGTAACCACACATGATATGCGCCGTGAAAAGCATTAAATTGTATGAACGACAGGTTTCATTGTTGATTGTACTTTTGCCCTTATGCAGGAGAGTGACAAATATATCAAGGTCAGTCTTTGTGGGTGACTCATTTGATGACTTGGACCAATCAGAACACCTGATTTTGATGTCCTTTTCCCGTAAGATGAATCATGAAATCCAGTATCTCTGACGACGCAATGCTACTATCAGTGGCGTGGCGTGCTTTGCGAGATATCGATTGATCCACCATTTAAACCTATGGAAAAGGATCGATATACAGGGTGTCCGCAGCGAACGCTCTAACAATCGATTACTGCCTCAGCTCAAATGGGGAAATATCGATAATCGATCATTCACGCCTCGCCACTGGCTACTGTACTGAAATAATGACCAGAGCTGAGTCATGTTATATTCTAGATAAAAGAAAGTAACTCTATTTCTACGTTTTAAAACTTACGGCCGTGGTTCGTTTTTGACTTGGAAACATTTGGAAATTTTTGATTGAAGATTTTAATAATTTCCCTGCACGTTGTAGGAAAATGTGAGCAAATTTTGGGAAAAAACTGATCGTGTGTCAAAAAAAAACCATTGAAGTAATTTTTGCTATCCTAGAATATTAATCTGCGTCCTTTTGTGTAGGAAACATAAAGTCCGTCCGCTGGGAGGAAAAACTTGATCTCCGAAAAAAACCTCCAAATCGCGTTTTTAATACCAGGGCATGAAAGGGTGTACCACAAACGTTTGGAGACTAAAATTATCCAAAAATATTAATACCGGGCTTATAGTGGTTTAAATTGTTTTGTTGAGAAACGTAGTTGAGAAAAAACTACTTAAAATTCTACTCTGGCATGCCTGGCACTGCATTCACAGATTGTAAAACAAACTTACATTATCTTTATTTGCATGTAAATGAAATAAATAGCTCAAATTTTTCTTTAATAAAATTGGAAGAGTTTCCCGATGTTTAAAAGGTTGATTATCCGACCTATAATTGAATAATAATTTTTTATTATGAGTAATAAGCTGTGATAACGATAACCGAATGTAACGAGTGCTATGTATATGTGATTATAATATTACGATTTCAAATGTCCAAGTAATTGAATACCTTTGATAATGACACTATGTGTTGAAATGCATAAACTGAATAAAATAAAACAATTTTATGTGCTAAATTAGTACCTTATTAATGATCAAAAGCCAACACCTTGGCTGAATCCAAACATTTGTCATTAATCATGGTGTTAAAAAATCTACTAAATTCAATTGAATAATTATTGGACATAATTTCACAGAAACGTTCAAAGTCTCATCTTTGAACCGAGTAAGAGGGTTGTTTCATTGCGGTAACCCAGAATTGCGCGAAAGGTCTACGAAAATATTTAAGGATTGTGCAAATAGAAACCTTAACATCTGCTACAGGAATTCGCGAATTTTAAAATAAAGTTAATTTTAGTTAGAAGTTTGGCAAAGCAGGAAATAATTGGAAAATAAACGCATTATTATGTTACGCCAGTTTAAGGTTAGTTTGTTGACGAATCATCGATGCCTTACCCTCTGATGATAAATGAAGTGATATGATTGAATATTGGTCGAGGTTATAAAGAACCTACCTAACTTTTCTCGGAAAAAAATATTTACTCGGGAGCAACGAGGCAACGTTGAAATGCTTATGCGGCGTCAAAATACAACATGGGCCTTTTAAGTTATATTACTCGATTGGATTATTGTAACGGGAGTTCGGATAAGCGCGCCATACAGTGCAGCCGGCGCTCAACATATATTAGCGCCTGCAGGACTGCAGGAATACTTCTTGCATTGCGCCAAACACGGTGCAGTCGGTCAGTTGGTCTGAAACGCATATCAGCGCATCCTACAAGAATGTATAGGAATGCTGTTGAACTGCGAGTCATCATTTTTGACTTTCTGCTCAAGTTTTTACCATAATTAAAGGGGAAACATGTATCCTCATTGTAACGATTCATACACTCAGATGATTTTTAATTTTGTTTTGGTTGCATTAAGAGAAAATAGAACGAACGAAAACATCGTATCGAAATTTTTGATACTTTTATTTGAGATCATTCAGGTGAATTCGCGCAAAAGTTTTCAGAAGAACTGTGTGTAGCTTTTTAAAAACATATATTAAAAAATAAAATATAATGAAAGTAGTGCATGACGTTGCAATCGGAGATAAATATCCGCTTTCATTCCGGTGTAACCGTCGTGTTTTGAATCCATCCATCCCTTAAAAAACTTAAACATGGTTGTTTTACGATTTTTTACGTGTGATTTCTTTTCATTGGTTGGTGGCCATACGCCCCTAGTTCACTTTTTAAATGTCTACGAAAGCTCTCTGGGCCATTCGTGCTGCGAGGGCTATCCATCGAAGAGAGACATGCCCGTAAATGAATAGGGAATGAACAGTCTTCCGCGATGTAGCAATCTACCACAAACTTTTTTTGATTTTTATGATTTTTGCTGCTCTTGGCATAAGTGATAGTCTCTAGATGAGTTTGATTTGTTGAGGTATTGGAAGTATGACTTAGATTTTGTATATTACGCGATAAAGTTGTGAATTCTCCCATTTAAAGAATGTAAATTTTCATTTTTGTCACAGTACATTCTAATGATGCGCCACGCCGATTTTTACGATTTTTACGGTTATTGATAGGAAGTAGTCCCCAGATGAGCTCACTTTGTTCTCGCCCAAAAAATCTAGCCCCCTAATTGTTATAAGTAACAGGTTCTTCGTCCATCTCTTGATTCACATGCATGAGAGGGCGAAGTCCTCTGTTACTAACATTCAAGAATACAACCAGAAACGGATCCAACAATTTGGCAACACTAGATTTCCTCCATTTAAACCTATCCTAAATAATCGATTCTTGTTGGAGCACTTGACCCCTCCAAGAATCGATACTTTGCCATAGGTTTAAATGCAGAAAAGACAATGTTGCCAATTTGGCAATGAATACACCTGTGAGCACGAATCTAAGAGTACTATTTTCATTTCAACACCTCCACTGAATGTATGTAAGTCACTTTTAACAAAGCTCATAGTAAGATAAAGGTAACCTCATTTTCCAAAGCTCTCGTATTTCGGTTATTTTTTTGTTTCTTTTATCTGGTGCGTCTTTCTCTTATCTTTTCGCATCCTAATAAGGTGTGCCGTAACTTTTCCATAGAAAGCAGCTAGTCACGTCAATTTTTCCTTTCGTATATTTTTTGCGTCTCGTCATATTTTTTTCTTCTTCTTTTGGCGAGTGCAAGTGCAAGCAATAAGAATTAACCACTGTTTGCACTCAACATTCTGAATCACTTTTTTTCTTGTTCCTCTCATATTGTGGATTATTCAATTTTAGTTTACAACAAGAAAGAGAACCACATCGCTGGATTTGTTTAGTAATTATGTCACCTACTTTTGTGAATTTTTGTTCTCATTTTTTTTTCTGGTCATCTGCTATGCGTGGCTTGACGTGTAAAAGTTCATTAACTATTGAAATTACTGATTAATTTTTTTCAATCCTTTCAATATGAGGAGGTACCCCACCGAGCTTGCTTAAATTTAAGACGAATAAGAAAAGTGGAGGAGAGTTTATCTAATTCCATGAAATAGAATACTCTAAAATAGTATCAGTGTTTTTTAAACTGTCTCGACCATGTTTTACCATCAAATCTGCGCAGCTATGACGGCCCCTTAACGCTTTTCAACTCGGTAAAATAACCTCAAAGACCTTGCACCAAAACTTTGCATGCCAGCCATTCGTTCTTGACGGTAAACTTCTCCTAGTCATGATTCCATCCATGAAAAATAAACTCATTGCTCTTGCTGGCTTTGCTTGTCTGTTGTATTTTATGTCGTATCGGGGTCGTTCACATTCGAGCATGCTTGGGAAGTACAAAAGAAATAAAGGATCCCCGACGATCCCTTCTTGCTACTTACTCCCCTACGACAAGAGCCAGCTGCCCGATATATCCGAGTACTCGGTCCGGCCGAACACTACTTTTTTTCTGGAGACATCTTGCCGTCATGCCGGCGAGGTGAGTCTGACCGTCCGCCAATCGTGTGCCTTCGAATCCGCGGCCAAAGCGCATCCGGATACGGAAATTCTGGTGTTGTTCCCGGCCCCTGTTTCGATGAAAAGCCCACCGCCGCACGTCAAAATGTTGCTGAAATTTGCCAACTTGAAATTTTTGCATGTGGACGTCGGGAGATTTTTTCAAGGCACGCCGATCAAAAGTACCGATTTTATGGAGATGATGAATATAAGTGCATTCGCACCCTCTCAGGCATCTGATATTCTGCGGTTGGCCACCTTGTGGAAGTACGGTGGTGCCGCTCTAGACTCGGATTTCGTCGTTTTAAAGTAAGTGCGCGTCCAGCTGTTACCTAGAGTACCTATTTTGAGAGAGTATGGCCGCTGGGCCCCATGGAGAGGCTTAGGACCCAAAAATGGCGGTGCTTTGTTTTGGTTTTTGTGGATGGGAGGGGGGTCATTGCCAACTTTTGACGGTTATCACCAACCGCACTTGCTGCCAACCTTACTACATCTAAGATAATTTTCCACAAAAATTGCACACGATTAGCCTTAAAACTATTTAAAGAAGTCGCAATAGTGTATTTGGGTAAATTTCTCGTTACGATAAGCAAAGAAAACTACATTTTGAGTCATTTTGCATTACATTAATTTAGGGCGTCCGCCATTTTTGGGTCTTAGGGGCTCCATTCAGCCTAAGATGGCTGAGCCAATCAGAGGTGGTAACACCAATGGCCATACTCTCTCAATATAGGTACTCTACTGTTACCCCGGGGCCGGATTCTGTCGGCTCTTTTACACGGAGTGCAACATCCATCGATGAGTTCAAACCGCACCATCGGCCAATCAAAAGCGCTAAGCCAGACTTATGTGCAGTCGAGACCCGTACTAAGTGTATTTAAGTACGGTAGAAGGACCGACGAAATTCGGCCCCTGGTAGAGTATCTCAAACGGCATTTTTATCCGAAATTGAATCATGAATCATTCCTAATTTCTCAAATAGTTGGAGGTATCTACGTTAAACAATTTTTTCGTGAAATAAAAATAGTTTAGAAGGTTAAAAATGTGAAAAATACATACACACACCCTTTCACACATTCAGAAACTCGACCTCAGGCAAAACGATGAAAAATGAGCGGAAGAGGAGAAATACGGTTGAGATGGCTCAGTAGCACTCCATGGCTCTAATTTTTGTTTTTTTTACTTGATTCTTGATAGAATATCCCCGGACTTTAACAGTTGCATTCGAGTAGCGGTAGATTTTTTACAATTTCGGAGCGTCCATCATAAATTAAGGAAAATCAATGGTTAAATGCTGTCTAAATGTCGAATTGCATTATATCGTTTCAAAATCTCCGCTCTGCATTCTTTTTTTTTCTTTATTCCTCAAAGAAACACTCTTGAGTGTTACGGTTTAAGATTTTTACGGAACTATAGTGATAGCGTACAGAAAAGTCAAAGAAAATGTGAAGAAGTAATATTCAGTCGTTGTAAAAATAAAATGCAAAGCAAAGCAACATTACAGTTCGAAATACGTGTCCTCCGAGCTGAGCTATCGGCATGTGGAATACAGAAGTTGTTTTGCGTTGGTTTTATTCTTTCCCTACGCATTCCTACATCGATTAGGTACAGCAAGATCAACAATATTCTTTCAGGTCTCTCTATACGAAGCGTAACTATATCGGCCAAGAAATCAAGGACAGGTTCAGCACTGCAGCTCTAAATATTGACAAGAACACAGAGATTGGGAAACTCGTAATCGAGGAAATGTTAAAAGATGTCCAGGCTAATCCCGACTTCGCGACGAAATATGGGGATCAGATGGGGACTGAAATAGCGACACGAGTTCTTCGGAAGATATGCAAAGTAGACCATGTGAGTTCACAAAATCCCTTCTTCCTTGCTTTCGTCAATTTCTCTTTGAGAACAATTGCGAACATGAGATTTGTCACTTTATAGAATAAAACCGAAGTAAAAGTGGGACATTGTGACATCTACTATTTGTTTTAAATACAGCAGTGTCACTGCGACCAAATCTGAGAAGATGACTTTTGGCGGTGATCAGCAAAGCATTGAGTTGGAGGATGGGCAGCAGATCAAAGGCTGCGAGCACTTTAAGTACTTGGGAGTGCGGTTGACCCAGGATGGAAGGACGGATCAAGCTATCAGGGAAAGGAACACCTTAGCAAGGAAGGCTATAGCGATGTTAAATGGAATCCTCTGGGATCAGCGGATTTCCAAAGATAACAAGAGGAGGCGATATACAACGCTGTAGTCAAAAGTATATTAACATACGGATGTGAAGTTTGGCAGCTGAAGAAACGGACACAGGATATGCTAAGAGCAACGGAGATGGATTTCTGGAGAAGGTCAGCAGGAATTTCTAGGAGAGATCGGGTCCGTAATGATAGAGTGCGTCAGATAATGGAAGTCGAAAATGACATCGTGTTCGACGTCATGACCAAACAACTTGTTTGGTATGGTCATGTCAATAGGATGACGGAAGAGAGGCTGCCAAAAAAGATGCTTGATTGGGTTCCTCCTGGGAGGAGACGTAGGGGACGCCCAGTGAGAGGTTGGCGACAGGGGGTGTTAAATGAGATAAGAGATTGTCAACTCCCTGATGACCTGTGGGAAGACCGAGCTTTGTGGCGATTAGGCGTCGCACAGCGCCAAAGAGCGCTATAAAAGCGACACATATATATATATATATATATAGTGTCACTGCGATGTCCGCTGAACACCCTGCCGTCATAGTGACATCATATTGGCTTTTGAGTGTTCAGAGTGGTGCATGAGTGAAGTCAGAGTGATGTCAGACGGACATTATAAAGATTTATTCTATAAAGCATTGTGGTGTCACAATGACGAGGTCATTATGCTCCAATCAAAAAAGCAAATTGACAACATTATTTTTTCTCCATTTAAACCTATGGAAATGTTGGAGGGGCCAAGTGCTCCGACAAGAATCGATTATTTAACATAGGTTTAAAGGGAGGAAACCCGGTGTTTCCAAATTGCTGGAGACGCTTCTTTTTATCTATGTTATAGCATACTGCACAATTTTTCTAACACTTTATGGGCACTTTATCGGAAGATTAAAATATAGGTCATTTAAGTATAATTGGGTTTTGAAAACATTTTAAAAATTATCGGAAAAAGGCTTTTTTATATGCTTACTCATTATTCTATTTTTTTTTTTTTTTTGCTCCAGGCCTCCAACATGACCGAAGAGAAATGCGGTGGATTCCATGTGCTGCCGCCTCCCCCAGAGTCTCCATTATACCCGACAGGGTTGGAGTGGGAGTTCTTCACCAGAGAAAATCAAGATAAAAAACGCTTCGAGAGAATCAAAAAAGATGCATGGGCGGTGCATATGCTCGGTCGTGAGTCTGTAAAGACTAGCATTAAGGTCGGCAGCAATGTTTTTTACGGGGACCTCGCAGCCGAGTTTTGTCCCTTGGTCCGGTCTACCGTCAAGGACTACTATTGAGCAGTGATCTGATATTAAATCCTTCCCGGGAAGAAAAAAAATCCCCAGATTTGCTCAAATATCCCCTAAAAATCCCTAGCTTTTGCAAAAAAATCGACATTTTTAACGTGGAATCATAACGTCATTCATTAAATCGATTTGCAATATTTAAACCTGATTGGCTGACGCAATCGTTTTAAGTTCCGGCCTATTTACGGGGAAAATAGTGTTGCCAATAAGGCCCGCAAAATATAGATGAAAAAATATTTTGATAGTCGAAGCTAAAATTGAGGTTAAAAAGTTGATGTTTGCTTACTTTACCCTATCAAAAAAAAATCCCTAGATCCATAGAAATTCTGGGAAATCCCTAGATCTAGGGATTTATCCTTAGACATCGGATCACTGCTATTGAGTACCCAACACGTGTTCATATACAGACATGAGACCCTCCACTGGCCTCTTGGCGACAGGTGGAAGCTTTCACTTTCGGGAATTTAACAATTCCTTAAGGATAATTATAAGGGAGCAACAGTCATCACCCTTATTTCGGCTGTTGACCTACCTACATGGTGGATGATGAGCTTCGGGCGACGTCATGAGCCAAACGAGTATCCCGAACTTCGGCCATTTTCGGTTTGTTTTCAAAGCGAAACTGCCAACATATTGGTGAACATCAACCATGTAGGTAAGTCAACAGTAGAATTCTGAAGTCCCGAAAGTAAATGCTTCTACCATGGCTAAGATACTAGTGGAGGGTCTCTTGTCTCTGATTGGATACCAGCCCAAAAAAGTCTGCTTTTCAGCAATTATATCAGCGCAATCTTTGGAAAAATACTGCGGAAATTGTCAATGTACTCTTGATGACAACATTCATGGGAAAATATTTTTGACAATTTCCACGTGCATACACATGCATAAAAACCGTTTTCACAGTGCTCCTTGTCGCTCTACGACACCCATCCGCCACAGTGACCTCACTGAAAAAAAAGAGCAATCTTGATTCAAGAAACCTTGGACGCTTACATTTTTTACCCTCGGTCCAAGCGGAATTCTGCAGCCTGATCCAAGAGGAAGGACATTCAACCTAGGCAAATTGACTCTTAGATTCAGATGTCAGAGCCCGTCTTCTGAACTTAAGAAACTTAGACCCTTAAAAAAAAGCGTAATTGGAGCTTAACGCAAGAGAAAAAACTCTTGAATCAAGAGGCGGGTCTTAAGAGTCCACCACACCACGGGTGGTGGATCTGACACAGAAGTACAACGATTAAAGCGCACACCGTGCTATGCGAGCAATGCGTAAAGTATTTCCACAGTACAATACGCGTTTCATGCCAACTGACCGTTTGGCGCAATGCGAGAAGTATCCGTGCAGTCTTGTAGGCGCTCTCTGCGTGTCGCGCCGAGCGTACTGTTAGGCGCAATGCGTGAAGTATTTCTACAGTCTTGCAGGCGCTAATAAGCGTTTAACGCCGGCCGCACTGTGTTTGGCGCGACTATTCGAACTCGCGTTAGGCTAATCGCGGCATCGAATAATGGGGCTTAAAAGGCCAATGCTGTGTTGTTGGACTTCTTGAACCAAACGTCCACATTTGGTGTTAATGTGAGAGTCCTGCTGGTTTCATAAGTTAAGCATTCCTAGACTGACAACCTTTTCATTCATTTAAGAACAGTTAAGAAAGGAATACTGTGTGAAATCTACTTGCCATTTTCTTCTTGCACTCCATTGCATCATTTTTTTATTTACTTATTTTACTATATACTTTGACGATTTACTTATTCATTTATTATTTAAATATTATTTTTAATAATTTTATTAAAACTATTATAAGTATTTTTATTTTATTCCTCACTTCCGGTGCCTTACCATAGCCAACAGTTGAGTTCAAGCCAAATAAATCCTATGTACTACTACTACTACTATTATTTTATGTATTTATTTTACGATAAAATGTTCTTATTTTTATTTTATTCATGTATACAAGTGTTAATATAATTAATCTGTTGATTTAATTTTAGATATTTCATTTTATTTATTTATTTACTCTAAGATATTTTATTCAATTATTTGATTGATAAAATGTATACAGGTGAATTTCGAGTTCACGTTCCTGCGTTACCGTATAGTATTATAGCAATTCATCGCTCATTTTGTATTTGTAGTTATATTAAGGTTTGGTACAAAAGTGGTTATACAACAAATTGAGTGCAGAAAGCGAGGAAACATCAAATTCGGAAAATCATCGAAGGAGGGGGGGAGTTCTGATCTGGAAAGGGTGTCTATGCTGATTGTGAGTCTCTTGTTTTTCCTTGAAATTCCTAATAAAAATGTTAGGTTTTGCCGTTATTATCTTCTTCTATTTTTGCCTTTATTCATGTATGCCTGTAGCCCAACATTCTTCGTAAAATTTAACCCGATTTTTTTCGGCTGGCCGCAGTTCATTTTGTCTCTGTGCAGTAATTTTATCTTTCCTCCTTGCGTAACAATGTGCAGTGCCATATTCATTTTGGAGTCGTTCCCTTCTATTTTGTTCCGTTCAACGCGGTCGAGATAAAGTGTTCCCAATTCGTTCCGTTAACTATGAGGCCTTCCTCGGTGGCCTGAAAAATGTTTTATCGCATAGTAGCTCATCACTTGTGCAAACTCGCATTCCTACTGTTGATCGTCGCTTTATTTTTCGTCTACTTTTTCGTGGATCGCCAGCAGTTGACTTCTTTTAAAAGTTACTGGCTCGATGGAATTGATACGAATACGGAGGAGCCCCGAGTCCCAGTCTGTTACAAACTACCCCAAGACGATGAAAGGTACTTCCAAAATCCGCCCTGTCTTACGCAAATACAAAGAACATTGCGTGGCTATCAGCAGTAATAGGGCTCTTGCAATCCATGGGGATTTGAGGACCTTCCCGACCAAACAGCAAATAGCTATGTAAACCCTGCTAAGATTGTGCATACATTCAACTGTTTAGGTGGTAGTTGGTGCTGTAAGCTCTGTCCTGAAATTTGCTTCAAATTTTCTTTCTATTTTTCTGAATATTTCTGCAGAGAAATGCGCAATCCGGATGACTTCGGATACTAAAAAAAAAAAGTTGCTTATAATCTAAGCGATGTTAACATACATACATATATCGACGATGTAAGTCGGCAATCACATAACTCGTTTGCGGTGTCTGAAAATCTCCGCCTCTATGTTATTATTTTAAAGGAGAACAAATTGACATTATTCCTTGAAGTTTATGCAGAATTTTCTTCGCATAGAGTCGAAAAATCACGGCTGTCTTGAAGAATAGCCGCTAAGTAGTTTTCCGTTTGAAAAATGATAGAAAACAAATGAAAGGAAGTCTGCGACGTCGCAAACCGAGTTATGTGATTGCCAACTTACACCGTTGATATGCTGTTTGATCAGGAAGGTCCTCATTTGCGATTGAAGTACTTCATCATATGTACATGTATGTTCTGCGACAGATACGATGGCCTCACTGGTTATCTCTAATAAGAATCCTCCAGCTCAAAATATGCTTTCAAAGTTGAGGCCATGGTGGGGGGGGGGGGGGGTGAGCGCACATTTTAAGAGACCACCACAACATGCAGTCAAACTCTCTATGTACATATAAAGACCATAGGGAGTGAATATATTTGCAGGGTTGTCGTGGCTGCACCATATTGGAGTCGACACACAAGGCGGCACTCCTGCTAATGTATTTGCTCCCTGTCTGTGCATGAAGTTGGCTGGATAAAAAAGTGGGCTCTTCCATAAAGTAGGGATTAGAGTACCTTCATAAGAAGTGTATGGACAACTTTATGACGGATTTATGTAGCTCTTAGAGCCCAAGAGGGCGACAACGTGAAAAATGAAAATCACTAGAATAATGCAGCTGCCAACCTATACATTTGAAATATGAATCAATAGGGCCGACTGCGCATGGTACCTAAACAAGTGATTTCAAGGATTATGACTTTATAACTGAGAAAATGTATGCAAAATCAAAGTCTTATACGTGTTTTTATAATTTTTTATCAGTGTACTTACTTTTGCAGTTAACATTAGTACCACCAGATAATTCGAGTTCATAGGTTAACTGCGTGGCTGCTCTTTTGGGCCCTAAGAGCTTCATGACCTAATCAAACCTGTCCTCCAAATTTTCAAGTTGTCCATACCAAGAGACCCTCCACTTGTATCTTGGCCATGATAGAAGCTTTAACTCTCGGGACGTCAGCATTCTACTGTTGTGTTACCTACATGGTTGATGTTCAACAACGTGTTGGTAGTTTCGTTTTGCAAACAAGCCGAAATTGGCCGAAGTTTGGGAAACTTGTTTGGCTTATGACGTCACCATAAGCTCATCATCCACCATGTAGGTAGATCAACAGCCGAAATTAGGGTGATGACTGTTGCTCCCTTATATTGGAAATGTTACATGTGTGAGGAATTTGCGATTCGATGATTGATTGTAAAAGTTCGCGAGAAACACGATGGTGCTACTGATTTTCTCTTAAATCAACTCCCAAGCTCAAAAAAGGCTCTCAAGTTAAGGCCAAAATGTAGGGGATATCTCACACTATCCTGAGAGTCCATCTCTACACCAAGACAAACTCTCCATGCAAAGATAGGGAGCAAATACATTGACAGGGCTGCCACTTTATTTGGAGATTCTAAAACTGAAAACACGGCATCCCTGCTAATGTATTTGCTCCCTATCTTTGCATGGAGAGTTTGTTCTGATGTAGACGTGAACTCTCAGGGTAGGGAGGGATATCCCTTCCATTTTGGCCTCAACTTGAGAGCTTTTTTTGAGCTTGGGAGTTGATTTCAGAGAAGATTAGTGGCACCATCGTGTGTCTCGCGAACTTTTACATAAGAATCAACAGTCAAATCGCAAATTCCTCACACATGCAATATCTCCATTGTCCATAAGGAATTGTTTAATTCCCGAAAGTAAAAGCATCCACCTGTCGCAAAGAGGTCAGTGGATTGTCTTGTCTCTGATTTGAACCAAGAGTTCGATATTATATCGAATGACGTAGTCACTAAATCCGCCTATTTCAATGATGTCTTCGTGTACCCGGACGAAGAATCCCGGACGTCTCGGACTACCGCGTGCAGCCGAACAGCATCTTCTTCCTGGAGACCTCCTGCCGGAACGGGACCGGCCTGAACCTGACGATCCGCCAGGCGTGCACCTACGAGTCCGCGGCCAAGGCCCACCCGGACACGGAGATCCTCCTCCTCTTCCCCTCGCCCATCTCCCTGGAGGACCAACCCTCGCTCCGCCTCGAGCTGTCCACCTACCCCAACATCCGCCTCCTCCGCATGAACGTCGAGCGCTTCGTCTTGGACACGCCGTTCGAGCATTTCGATTTCCTGGCGCGCCCGCACCACAACCCGCGCTCCGTGGCCCACGCCTCCGATCTGCTCAGGCTCATCACCTTGTGGAAGTATGGCGGCACATATTTGGACTCGGAGTTCATCGTCATGGAGTGAGTTCAAACTGAAATATATTGGCATCCCTAGTAGCATAGATTGCAATATAGTCCAATGGGTCTGCGGACTGATCGTTGAAATTGATAGACCAAGTTATAGACAAAGACACAAAAGGGATATGGGGGGATCTTATTGGAGGAAGCGGGTGGTTGCAATATAGACGTAGGTAGTAGGTCTAACTAATTGCAACCCACGAGAGATCCTATAGTTTAAGTCCATCATTAACACCCTTAGTCTACAATAATCACCCGTTTCAGCCGATAGGATCGCTCAATACTCCCTACGTCTTGATTGTCTATGGCAAAAAGAATAGTTGTATCTTATAGAATATCCTTAAAGTGGCATAGATTGCAATTAATTACTTGTGCATGGGCTGATCGTTGAAATTGATGGACAAAGCTATAGACAAAGGAGAGAAAAGGGATATGGAGGGATCTTATCGGTGAAAGCGAGTGGTTGCAATGGACGCAGGTGGTAGGTCTAACTAAACAATCATCCCGCTGGTGCGAACTTCAGCTAGAGCAATGAGAAGAAATGGACTGCATTTTGCAATTTGGAACTATAAATTCTGGCTCAACTGGAAAAACACTTTTCTGCACAGGGGAACTAATGGAGAACCGTTTTCTACTGTAGAAACTCCTCTTTTTGCCTTAGCTTAAGTTATCAACATGCCCTCTACAGCCGAGTCTCTTTTCAATTACGGGATTGTATTATTTTATTTTATTTTATTTTTCAGTCAAAAAACTTTTTATGGAAATTTTCTTGAGAGAAGGAATGAAAAATATATATAAAAAATGTAAAATAATCCGGTGCCACTCTATCAATCGTCATTTAAACTCCCATCAAAAAACTAGACAATACTATTCAAGATACGATAGTAGGGTAATGACATTCACGAAAAAAGGCAATCAAATACATGGACGTATTTCTGTCAAACGGAACTATGTGCATTATGACGTGACCCCTATTACGCACATATACTTATGGGTTTCAGGGCTCATGTCTTAATGCATATAATTCCATTTGATAGAAATACGTCCAAACGAGTGCATCGTGTAAAGAATGAGAATTCAAATCCCAGTAAGCGCCGTCATATGTTTTACTACTTGGTTCCTAAATCCTCTCTTTCATCACACTTCCACCCATTATTTTTGACGATATACATGATATATAATTTGATTTATTGATTATATTTGATTATTTTGATTTATTTTTTATTCAAATTTTCATTTACATTATTTTTTCTCGGAAAACTAACGAATAATCCTTGTCTAGACCGCTGAATTCGACTGTGAACTATGTCGCTGCGGCCGACGAGATCTCGCTGAACAACGCCGTCCTAAACATCAACATCAGCTCGGAGAACGGGAAACAGGTGATCGATGAGTTATTGGAGGAATTCAAGGACCAATACGACTTGGAGGGGCGAACCGATGGACCCAAAGTGGTCACGCGCCTATTCAACAGGATCTGCAATGAAACAGAGGTTAGGTTAAACCTAATGAAATGCCCCACTTTTACGTCGGTTCTTCATACTCGTAAGTTGATTCGAGTTGAACTCTTTGGATAAACCGACAGTCAAAGAAGACGAGGAGAAATTGAATTGATCCTATTTGTTGAAACGAGTGGTTCTTATATTGACCGATGGACTGCAGATGAAACTATAGAGTCCCTCATAGGTTCCCGTTACTTGATCAGTCTATTACTTATCTCCTCTATCCATTCCAACAACCGGTTTCAATAATCAGCCCGATGGATGGTGACTTGCACTTCAGTCGCATCTAACAGCCCCTAAGTCACTTACAAATTATTCGGAATTCATAAATCATCCCTTGGCGTTCCTTCTTTGGGAAAGCATTAACATCTGAAACCTTTCACTATACAGGAAAATTGTGCTGCTGTCCATGGAGACCAGCAAATTGGTCGCCAAATATTAGGCTGTCATGGTAGCATTGGTAGCCCCTTAGATCTTCATGTGGATGAAGTAAACAACCGAAATAGGACAACATGATTAGGATTTTCTAACTTTATTGTTGAAATTGATGGACAAAGCTATAGACAAAGAAGACATAGAGAGTATAGAGCGATCCTATTGGTTGAAACGGGTGGTTATTATAGACTAAGGGTGTTAATGATGGACTTAAAGGGTCTCTTGTGGGGTACCATTAGGTAGTCAATTTCCTACCCCCTATGTCCATTGCAACCATCCGCTTCCTCTAATAAGATCCCTCCACATATCCCTTTTGTCTTCTTTGTCTATAGCTTTGTCCATAGATTTCAACGATCAGTCTACTAGTAATTAATTGCAATCTATGCCGCTAGGGCAGTGTTCGAAACTCACAGGCGCCAACGCGCCAAATGCGCCTAAAAAATCGGCCATGTCGCCTGAAAAATGAAGGCTCTGCGCCAACGTGGCCCCTAAAAACTGCCACCTGAAAATCCGGATTTTCATAGGAAGCTGCATGAAGAAAGAAAAACAAATCTATTTGAATTTAAAAAAAAACTCAGAATTTTCAGCACTACAAGTGAAAGCTTTTTCTATTCTTCCCGATTTCATTCTCAGTACTTTTGTCTTCCTCAAGTTACAGCTACTTACTGGTTCTGTTCCGAAAACATCTTGCGTCTAACTTTCCATTAAATGCGCCGTAATATATAGGCATAAAGTCGATTTGGCCCCTAAAAAATCTTCAATGACGCCTAAAAATCGGGCTTTATGCGCCACACACTGGAAAAAAAACACATTGGATCTAGAGTCCAGACTCTTAATAGCATCGACAAGAAAAAATACTCTTGATTCAATCGGATTTTTGCTTAAATCAAGAACCAAGCCTCTTAATTTGAGCGGATTTCCTTTTGATTTAAGCAAAAATCTGATTGAATCAAGAGTATTTTTTCTTGTTAATTTTTTCAAGAGTCTGGACTCTAAATCCAATGTATTTTTTTTCCCAGTGAATGGCTCCTTAAACTCAAATGTGAGTTTCGAACACTGCACTCGGGATATTCTATAATATACATCTCTTCTTTTTGTTGTAGCATGAATTTTACAACGGGCCCATTAAACCATTTTCCCGCCTTTTTCTCACAGATTCGCAGAATGACCCCCGAGAAATGCATGAATTTCACAGTATATCCTGCCCCGGAACTTCCACCCCCGCGGGAAAACATTTCACGGAACTCAGATGAAAGTTCCGACCAAGCGGACAAGGAGGAGCCGAACAAACGAGAGTCGCAGATATTGGACATTTTGAAGTCTCTCAGCAAGAACAAACCCGTTGACGTCGGATCCAAATTGGCCTTTGAAATTTTCGCCGCTGAGTTTTGCCCCGTTGTCTACTCCATATTGAAGGGTCGGGCGTAAAGGAGCTGACGCACCGAGAGGCAACCATGGGTCAACTGCGCTGGTCATTGAATCGTGTTTTGATACTTGATTCTAGTAGATCAGTTAAAAGTTATAAGCTCTGTCCGAACATCAACTTCCTATGTTCAATATTAACCGAGATATCGCCATTTGAAAATTCGGGTTTTCGAAGTAATCCACCGCCGTGGTGGCATCCTTGGTCTCTTCTACCTTGTTTTCATTAGTGACGTACATTTGCACTGTTTACTCAACGTGAAACTCGGATGAATGATATTAGCGCCTGCGAGACTGTGGGAATACTTCACGCATTGCGCCAAATAGTGCGGTCGGCTTGAGCCGCATATTAGCGCCTACAAGACTGCACGAATACTTCTCGCATTGCGCCAAAACCAGTGCAGTCGGTCAGTTGACCGACCATAGAAAAATGAGAGTCGTAGATGTTGGACATTTTAAATTCTCTCAGCAAGTTCGGACGTCGGATCCAAATTGGCCTTTGAAATTTTCGCTGCTTAGTTTTGCCCCGTTGTCCACTCTATATTAAAGGGTCGGGCGTAAAGGAGCTGACGCACCTAGAGGCAACTATGATTAAAATGGGTCAGTTGCGCTGGTCATAAAATCGTGTTTCAATACTTGATTCTTGTAGATCAGCTAGGAATAATATAATCTGTCCGAAGAGCAACTCTCTACGTTCAATATTCTGACGAACTAAGGGAAAACGCCGTATGAGCCCTCAGGTGTTGCCAACTTTCCTCCGATAAAATAAGAATTTTCAAGGAAACTGCGGGATATTTTTCGTTTATATTTTTTAGACAATTTTGTACAGAATTCAATATAAAATATCTTAAAATGTCAAGGAAAAATATGCATAACTCCCCTCAAAAATTTATGTTTAATCCGGAGAAATTTGGCAACTCTCGAATGTTCATACGGCGTTTTTCCTTGGAACGTCAGTGTCAACCGAGATATCGCCGTTTGAAAAGTCAGGTTTTTAACGTCATCCACCGTGGTAATGACACCCTTGGTTTCTTCCTCCATACTTTCATCCTAGTTTCACGTTGAACAACCAGTGCAAATGTGTGTAACACCGACTGAACTCGAAGTCTTGTAGGCGATATAATAAGCTTTTTACGCCAAATGGCCGACTGCACTACTTTCAGCGCAATGCGAGAAGTATTCATGTAGTCTTGAAGGCGCTAATATGCGGTTCAAGCCGACCGCACTATTTGACGCAATGCGTGAAGTATTCCCACAGTCTGGCAGGTGCTAATATCCGAGTTTCAGGTTGAGTAACCAGTGAAAATGTGCGCCACAAATGAAAACAAGGTGGAAGAGACCAAGGGTGTCACTACCACGGTGGATGACGTCAAAAACCTAAATTTTCAAGAGTGATATTTCGTTTAATATTGGTCGTAGAGAGTTGATGTTTGGACGGATCTTATTACTTTTAACTGATCTGCTAGAATCAAGCATCAAAACACGATTCTGTGACCAGAGCAACTGACCCATTACCTAATTATAGTTTTCAATTTAATTGAATTTGAATGGTTCACAGAATCGTGTTTGATGTTGGATAATTGTGGCTCAGCTAAAAATAATTATGATCCATCCAGATGGGCACTCTCCGTTGTATATTTACCGAGATACCGTGCTTTGGAAAATTCGTTTAATGATGTCATCCACTGCGGTAGTGACACCCCTGGTTTCTCCCACCTTGCTCTCATCCGAGTTTCACGTCGCAAATGTTTATCTCACTGATTGATGAAACCAAGGTGGAAGAAACGAAGGGTGTCACTTTCGCGGTGGATGACGTCATAAACCAAATTTTTCAAAGCGCGATATATCATTTAATATTGAACATAGAGAATTGCTGTTTGGACGGATTCTCTTATATTTAGCTGATCTACGAGATTCAAGCATCGTAACACGATTCTTTGACCAGCGCAACTGACCTATTGATAGTAGCTATAGAAGTTGATTTCAGTAGTTTTCGTTCCGCGAACCGTGTTCTACGTGAAATTGTGGTGAAGAATCATGTATCAGATTGCTTAAATGCGTACCTTGTTGAATGGTCCATTCAATCTAAAAAAGCAAACACAGAGAACAGAACTTTCTTAGCTTTTCTCAGAAAAAATATTTTATCAAGAGAAACGAGGCAACGTTGGAATGCTCATACGACGTCGAAACACAACATGGACCTTTTAAGCCCCATTGGTCGATGCTGCGATTCTCCTAATGCGAGTTCGAATAATCGCGCCAAACACGGTGCGGTCAACGTCAAGCTCATATCAGCGCCTGCAAGACTGCAGGAATACTTCACACATTGCGCCAGATGGTTCGGTCGGCGTCGGACGCATATTAACGCCTACAAGCCTGCATGAATACTTCTCGCATTGCACCAAACGCAATGCGAGAGTTATTTGCGATAACTATACGACTACGGGTAAGGGCACATTGCCACTGGTTGGATTGAAGGCTAATAGATGACTCGACACTCAACCGCACTCCCTTTCCCTAGCTTGCGCGACGATGAAATCGCCGCAAGACTAGGACCACGTGTCATTTTTTTTGACGGTCCCTACCCGGTTTTTACCACATTTAAAGGGTAAATATGTATCTTGATGCAACGATTAAAAAACTCGGACGATGTTAAAACGATGCAGCGATTCTGAAACTTGATTCGCGTGAAATTAATTATGGTTTCATAAAAAGAACGAACGAAAGTATCGCGTCTAAATTTTTCGTTATTTTATTTTAAATCAGTCCGGGGATTTCTCGAAAGCTTCTAAAAAACCGTGTGTAGCTTTTTTTTTTTTTTTTTTTTTTTTTTTTTTTTTTTAAAAAAACAAATTGATTTAAAACAAAACATGATGGCTGTTTCGAACATTCATGGTTTTTTCCTATTATTAGTAATAATTTAACAATTTCGTTGGTAATTTTATTACATCGTCGTCCGGAGGAACATGATTTTTGGACTGATCATATTACTATTTTCCTCGATCTGTACAATTTTACGATTACATCACAAGCGCAACTAAAGCATGAGTAAAAGTATCATCTGGAAATCAGATCTATGTGAGGCAAACTGATGATTTCGTGACATTTAGCGAGAGGCCAGTCACTAAATTGCTCTATCTGTCATACTTTTGAGAGGATTTCTTCGTTAACGTAAAGTATAATTTAACATGTTACGATTCAATTTTTACCGTTCAAACTAAAGTCGTGGAATACGTCACACCTGCACCTACAACCTATACAATTCGGAGGATTTTCAAAGCTGCCACACAAATTGTAGCAGCTATAATTGAAGGCGTTTTGAAAGTTACTTGCTTCGTCACTCCGGGATTGGGTAAGTAAATCCAGCGCCAGCCTAGAGGATGCAGTATGTGGAGAGATTGTAGTCTACCTTATTAGAGAATAATTTCTTCCAAAGCATGATATATTTAATTTCTACGTTGTAAAATTATACATAATTGTAATTTAATTTCGTACTCCGGTCGGCCTTGTTCTTTCTCACTACCTGGCCGGGAAGAAATCTTTTTATACGTGATCTACTTCCTTCCCGCTGCCTAACATCATTGATTCATTCCAATTAAAGCTAAGACTAAAAGTGAATTTTCTGTGAAAAATGTAAACACTTGTTTTTTTGATCGTTATATCTGTGTACTTTTGTAATTTATTATGATACATTGTTGACAAAATAATCGCTAGCGAGAGTTCGTTCTCTACTGACTTTTAATATGAAGACTTGTTGGAAAAAACCTTGATTGTATATTTTCGCCCCTCAAAAATTCAAAATCGAGATAAAATGTGTTTAATAAGGAAATAATAGCTTACATTTATCCGCAAAAATGAGTTAAGGGAAAACTAACGGTAAGACGTCTTGTAAGATAAATAAAACAAGAAATTTGCAACGTCACATGCACTCGACCTCCTACTTTTTCACTTCAGTCATCGATACTTCTCATTCAATGGAACCAGTCCTTTTATGTTTCTTTTGATGGTAACCAAAGTATTTGCCTTCAAAGTTCCACCTGGTCACGGTCGAAATTCCGCCAAATGCTAATTCTGGTGCCAATGATTCTAAATAGTTATCTAAAAAATCTCTCAGATTAGCAAATATCTTTTGCTTCTCACCAAAAAATTGTTGATTTTAGTGGAGAATAGTTGTGTGAATTTTAACACTGTACATAAATTGAGTATTTTTAAAAGGGAAGAAGAAGTTGCAAAATGTTGAAAACACTGTAATCGCGCTGGTTGATTTCTGCTAAATGCGATCCGGTTTTTTTTCTTCCTAAATCTGACCATTGAGTTGAGTTGCAACCGTTCGATTGCAGTCTGTGGTGGATCCAAAAATTTGGCAACACAGGATTTCCTCAATTTAAACCTACGTTAAATAATCGATTCTTGTCGGAGCACCTGGCCCCTTCAAGAATCGATACATTTCCGTAGGTTTAAATGGAGAAAAGACAATGTTGCCAATTTGCTGGATCCGCCAATGATTGCATTCTACATTTTATCCTCGTAAGGAAAAAGTCCTCTTTGATGGAAGTTCATGGGCGTAGTCGGAGCGTCGGAAAACGAAAAAGTTTGAGGGGATCCGCGGCGAGACATTGGCAAATTGGACGGATTCAAAAGAGGGGAAGGAGTCTGCTCAAATGGAGAGTGGAAGAAAAATCAAGTTATTATGCCAGGGGTAACTGAAAAAGGTTTCCATCGAGCGTTGCCGCTTCTAAGGACCCAAATTTACACCATTTTTGAAAATAATACACTGTTATTTCATTTCATTAATTGGATTGCATTTTGCAAAAAGGAACCACTAGCATTGCAATGATGCTAAGATTGTGCAACTTCATCTTTTGCAGTAAAATTGCGGAAATCGTGAAAAACTATGAAATTTAGATGGTAATTTTTGTCTTAAATTTACAGTTTTCAGCGAGTAAAATAGAAACTATTAATGGATAATCGGGTTTTTCCTCCAAGACAAAAGAAGTTGCACCTTGCACA